CCAACATGCTGAGAGAGAAACACCACTGACAATGGTCACGACCATTAATGTCCATTTCACTTCTAATTTCACCATTCTTTCTTCCTTATGTCTTAGAAACAGATAGAAATTACTAGTTTTTGTATATATGTAAATAAATTATACATTTACCTGTACTCAATGTCCTCTTTTCTTTGATGCTTGGATTTGTTTGCCAAGGTGGAGAAGGAATTAACCTCCACAATAGTAACAAAAACAAGTCTGTCTTCCAGGTTACCCATTTCTGCCTCAGTAACAAGTCTAGCAAAAGGGATTGCATTCTGAAAACTGCTTCTGACAACTACATATCTGAATAAATAGGGGTTCTGGCAAATTTACCCAGTCATGATTCAGCCCAACTGGTCAATTCTAACCACATGATTCCCTGGAAGCAGTCCTGATTCACACCTGGGACCTCCTAATTTGGGCATACATGCAGGTTTAGGATTCAAGAGTTTCCTACGCACAAGCATTTACTGAGTCTTTATTGTATTTCCAGTGATATAGTTTTGACAATTTTCAATTTTTGATCCTGTCAGCTAGTGAGTCAAATTGTTTCAAATCTGTTATCACAGCTGTGAGTGAATGCATTTTTCTAGACTGTGGGAATTGATATTTTTTATTTTAACCTATGAAACCATTCAGCAGTTTTATCGCCTCCTGAAATCTGCAATATTCTCGGGTTATTTTAGATGTGGGTGAAAATTGTTCTCCATAGCTTACTTAATAGTCTGAAGTATATCGAAATAATGGACACTTCACCCATATGAAAAAAAAAAAAAAATTGTACATGTAAAAATTTATAATTCGTTATACATAATCAAGATGCAAAACCTTATTCAATGGAATTGTAACTGGGGTCAAAACCCTATGATAGTGTAAAAATAGGTTTTAAACACCAGAAATACTTTGTAAAAAATTATTACCAGCGATACATTTTTGAAAACCAAATATTACCAGCGATACATTTTTGAAAACCAAATATTACCAGCGATACATTTTTGAAAGAAAATTATTACCAGAAACAGATTTTTTTGAAGGAAAAATATTACCAGAAATAGATTTAAAAAAAAAAAAAAAAATATTACCAACAATAAAAATTTTGTCTGCATTAAATAACCCATTGAGGTTGATATACGATAAAACCAAACAAAACAAAACCATAGCTTACTCTTAGTGATACTTATTCCTTTATGACTCTTTTTTGCCTTTGTTCTCATTCCATCTGTTTGCGTAAACTTGTCAAGTTGGTTATCCACTTCTTTTTGCTGCTTCTGTTGTGTTTAACCCTAGAACACAAACCATCAGTTAAAGTTACACCACTACTAACCATGGGTATATGATACCTGATTTTGAAAATATGAAAAAAAATATCAAATATAAATCTTTATTTGAAGTATTTTACATGCAGGCACTTCAAGCTTTGTAATTTGAGTTAACATTAATAGGAACTGAAAAACATTATTCAGGTAAGAAAATCAAGTACTGAAAACTGTAATTAAAAATAGGAAAATTTGCACTGGGTACTACCCATGGTTAGTGTTCTAGGGTTAATATGCCCCATGAATGTTAACTTCTGCAAGATTTCTTTTTTGCGTTATATGTTCCAAAAAGTTCAACTGTCTATTCCTGGTCCCTTTTCACTTTAAAAACATCACTTTTCATGCTCTATTAATAATATTGCCAATATTCCTCTGTAAAAACATGCTTTGCTCACTTCAAGGCTTGCTCAGTTGGCAGGGTTGAAAATATCCCAAATTCATCAAATGCAAAGGAGTAAGACACCAGTCTTAAAAAGGGGCCATTTTATAGGTGGATGATTTCCAACTTGAGTATAAACCTGGCCAAGTGTTTGCCCGTGGGCGCTGGCGTGAGCCTGGCCAAGTGTTTGCCCGTGGGCGCTGGCGTGAGCCTGGCCAAGTGTTTGCCCGTGGGCGCTGGCGTGAGCCTGGCCAAGTGTTTGCCCGTGGGCGCTGGCGTGAGCCTGGCCAAGTGTTTGCCCGTGGGCACTGGCTTCAGCCTGGCCAGTGTTTGCCTATGGATTTGGTTATAATGAAAAACAAATTTTGAAATTAGATAACTCAAAAAGGGTTGACATGTAAAATCTGCCAACCCAATACAAGACCTCAATTCTTTTCTCTTATTTACTCTTTTGAAAATAAAATAAAATTCTAATGGTGGGGATGAAATATCTTAATAGCTGAACAAATTTTATTTAATAAAGAAAGGATTAATTCTTATTTCTTAGTTACTGCTTGCCTTGATTCCACTAAGCCCAAGTAAAAAAAAAAAAAAAAAAAAGAAAAAAGAGCTATCACTGGATATGTGCAATGAACAGTCTACACCCATAGATTAAATAAAGTGTTTAGTAACAGAATCCTCTGTAGAATACCCAGATCGGCATACATCTGATGAAGGCTGATGTGTACAACTTCTGAAACTTTATAACAAAAACAATGATTAGAATAGTTCATATGTAAATAGTGTAAATACTGAAAATTCCTCATCCAAGTAAAACTATTATAAAATAATAGTAATAATGAAGAATGTATTGACTAAGAATGTTGTGGAAAAATGCAGCAGTAATAAACTAGAGAAAAATTTGTCTTAAAATAACAGTGAAAATGTTTTGTCCAAAATAAAAAAACCAAAAAAAAAAAAACCACAAAAAACATTATTGTCCTTATTATTGTTATCTTAACATTTCAGCCATTGTGTCATCTGGTCTTCCTCAAACAAACAAAACTTATGTACATTAATAGTATGTGTTTTTATATGTTTTACTACTTGTCTCTTTCAGTTACTGAAAATCTATATTGATTGCATTTACTTTTGCATTTTAATTTAAATAATTTCCTTTTCTAACTCCTAAATTGTAACCAATATATTCTCTTCTCTTCAAGTATATGTATTGGACCATGAAACAACAATTAGCTCATCATACCATCACAGGTTGCAATGTGAATGCAGGTGACCTCATGGGCTCAGGAACTATAAGTGGCACAGTAAGTAACACCTTCATTTTTCATAAATGATTTCATCACCATAAAATTAATTTTAATCAAATAGAATGACATAATTATATTTATTCAATCGATTCTTGTCGGATGATTGTTTTTGTATGTATTTGGTTTTTGTAATTATGAATGTGGCGAATACATTTTCTGATGTGTAAAAAGGCTACACTTCTAAAACCTTCCATTTCAGAAAAAAAAAAAAAAAAACATTTTACCGACAGGGGAGTTAATTCTTACATGAACTTTACTTGGAACTTAAGGAGTTATGTCCACTTTATGAATATTTTTTTCCCTTAATAAAAAAAGGTTATGTTACTTTCTACTGTATACTCATGCATAAACCTTTTATTTTATTTTTTAAAAATTTTTTATTAATCATTTCACCTTGAGCAATGAGATGAGGTATTATATACACTATTTACATTATTCGGACTATTATCCTCATCTTTGTCGCCATATTTATTACAACGTTTCGGCATTTTAGTATCTGTCTAGATTTCTCAGATGAGGTATTATATACACTATTTACATTATTTGGAGTATTGTCCTCATCTTTGTCGCCATATTTATTACAACGTTTGGCCCTTTAGTATCTGTCTCTATTTCTGAGATGAGGTATTATGTACTCTATTTACATTATTCAGACTATTGTCCTCATCTTTGTTGCCACATTTATCACAACGTTTCGACCGTTGTACATTTCAGCCTTCTTCAGGTGGTTGGAATGTCGAACTGAACCCTTTATTTCACTCACTGGGATAAACTGTTCTAGTTCCACGTGCCATGTCTAATGGATGTCAGTTATCTCCTGTTAATTCACCTCCAACTTTTCCACTGTCTTAACTAGGTATTGAACTAACAACTCTTTGGGTCCTGTCACTGGATCTAACTAGATCCAGTGACAGGAAGAAGGCTGGCGCGTACAATGGCCGAAATGTTGTGATAAATGTGGCGACAAAGATGAGGACAATAGTCTGAATAATGTAAATAGTGTAAATAATACCTCATCTCAGAAATATAGACAGATACATTGACTCTGTTTCATATTCATTTTCACACACACACACACACAGGGTGCGATAGGTAAATTGTCGCCATTTTATATTTTTAATTTTGCGTATGCGTATTGTTTTTGATTTTGTCAACTGCACAGTATAGTAGGGTCAGTTGGGCACCGTCCGGGAGAAAAAATAAATGTGGCAACAAAGATGAGGACAATAGTCCAAATAATGTAAATAGTGTACATAATACCTCATCTCAGAAATATAGACAGATACTAAAGGGCCGAAACATAATAAATATGGCGACAAAGATGAGGACAATAGTCCAAATAATGTAAATAGTGTACTAAAAATTTTATAAGTAATTTCTAATTTCCACCCATTCTGTAGATGTCTGGTGCAAAATGATTTGGTTTTGAGCCTAGACTATGACCTAATGTAGACCAAGATTCTTTTTTAGTTTTGTCATTTTTAAAGGCACTATTCAACCTTGCTTGGTTGGCAAATATCCTTTGTGGGTGAGTTGGTATAAGCACATTGGACCTGATGATTTCTCCTACCAAGGGGGACATAGGTTCAAATCCTGTTGGGGAGTGCATATTTTTCTTTAATAAGATTTCTCAAATATTTAGGCTGTTAGATGAAAATAAATAAATATTCAGTTTAATAAATAAACTGAATGTCTACTCAAATAGGACTATCCACTAAAAATGATGTTTAAAGTGATAAAATCTGTCAGATTTAATAAACAAAAAAATCTGTTACCACTTTAGAAAATATTTTGTGTCTGAACTATAAATAGTTGAGTTTTGGCTTCTCATATAATTCTTTTTAGACTCCTGATTCTTTTGGTTCCATGTTGGAACTTTGTTGGAAAGGAACCAAACCAGTGGATCTTGGAAATGGTGCCACTCGAAAATTCTTGCAAGATGGAGATGAAGTCATTATGACAGGTAAATATTGAGCTATTTCTACATGTTTTCTTAGAGAAATTTAATCAAAATAAGTTCTGAAAAATCTCTGTATATACATGGACTGCAGATTTTGCATTTAGGAAAGGTGGTAACTTCTGCATTTGGTAGGAAAATGATATGGTGACCATCTACCTTAGAAGATGGGGGGAAAAACTGTCTTCAAGATTCATTATTAAAAAATGGTTTTGGTTGAGTTTTAGGACTTTTATTGTATGTGAAGAAAGGTGGCAGATGTTCTTTCCAATAAGAATATTTTTGTTGTATTGTCACAATCGTCATATAGGAAATTAGTCGTGAGTGCTAAAGTGCTGATTCGTAAATTTTAGTGGCAGGGTAATTTGTGAGTTCAATTCCTGATCCAGGAAGTACAGGTTTAGACTTGGTGGAAATGTGGCAAGCAATAATTGAGCAATGTTAAATAAAAAACCAAAAAAACAAGAAGAAATATCTGTAGACATGGACAGAAGAATGAGAACAATCTCCAGCTGTAGATTGGATAAACAGTGAAGTTCAGAATTTGCTGAACAATACCTGGATTGACAAACCTCTGAAGAATGAGAACAAAGACTCCAAGGTTTATGTGACAACAAAGGTGAGGACATTAGTTTGATTATAAATAGATTTTTTTTTTTTTTTTTTTTTTTTTTTTTTTAATCATCAATTTTCTCCCAGGTAGGGTCTTGAGTTCAGAATTTGCTTTAACAATACCTGGATATCTTCATGTTTTTTTTTTTTTTTTTTTTTTTTTTTTTTAATTCATTGTTATTTATTCATCATTTGTTTGTTTTTTTTTTTTTTTTTTTTTTGTTAGCTTTTTGTTTTTTATCTTGTCTTTGTTTTTTTTATCTTGTCTTGTCTTTGTTTTTTTTATCTTGTCTTGTCTTTGTTTTTTTTATCTTGTCTTGTCTTTGTTTCTTTTTATCTTGTCTTTGTTTCTTTTTATCTTGTCTTTGTTTCTTTTTATCTTGTCTTTGTTTCTTTTTATCTTGTCTTTGTTTCTTTTTATCTTGTCTTTGTTTCTTTTTATCTTGTCTTTGTTTCTTTTTATCTTGTCTTTGTTTCTTTTTATCTTGTCTTTGTTTCTTTTTATCTTGTCTTTGTTTCTTTTTATCTTGTCTTTGTTTCTTTTTATCTTGTCTTTGTTTTTTTTTTATCTTGTCTTTGATCAAAATGATTTTTTATCTTGTCTTTGTTTCTATTTTTTGTCTTTATATATATATATATATATATTTTTTATTTATTTTTTTATTTTGACCAGGTTGTCTTTTGTTTCTTTTTATCTTGTCTTTGTTTCTTTTTATCTTGTCTTTGTTTCTTTTTATCTTGTCTTTGTTCTTTTATCTTGTCTTTGTTTCTTTTTATCTTGTCTTTGTTACTGAGCAAAATGATTTTTCTACTAAGTAGTATTTTTTATATATATATATATATTATTTTGACAGGAAAGATAATTGGTTTTGGCACTTGTACAGGAAAGATAATCCCTGCTAAAAAGTTTTAACTGTTGAAGGAAGAACTTGGATGATGTCTTGTAATCAAACCTTCAAAACAAACGGCCCAATCTAATGGCAGCTTCAATTATATTTTGTAACATTTCTCTTTTTATCAACAGGATTTTTTTAATATATTTGTTGATGGTGCTAATATTGATGTGGAAGCTCTTATATAAAAATCTATAGATCAAACTACTACTAAGTAATTGAAGGACAATACTAAAAACCACTCCTATCTAACATGTTTAATATCTAGAAAGAACATGTTCAAACTAATCATGATTTTATTGATGGAATCAGTGTTTGACATATGTAAGAATTAATGTATTTTAATTCTGACATTGTTATTAAAATGTTATTATTAGTGGATACTCTTATTTGAAACAGACGTTCCAATTTAATGTTTTAAACAGTATGTATTATATCTATTGGCCTGTGCTTTCAATAAGTCTTGATAAAGAAAATGTATTCTCTGGCAGGCATCAACTCGGCATCCTTTTTAGGGAGAAGCCACCATTTGATGCAGTAGGCTTCTATTCTTCCTTTTAAGGAAAGCTCACTTCCTCTGAAGAAATGTCCAGATGAAGTGTCCTATTTTGAAAAGGGAAAATAGACCTCCTGCTGGACTGTGATGCTCTCTAACTGAATAGTAAAGTATGCTGGATCAAATGCTTTCCCACTAAAAAGGGGGACACAATTTCAATTTTTGCTGGAGAGCTCATTTTCTTTAAGATTTATCAAATGCACAGGCCGTTGAATTCATTTAATATTATTAAGATTTTTTTTTTTTTTTTTTTTTAGTCCGAAAATGATTTCTAGAATTATCTCCCTTCGTATATTGCAATCAAACAGCAGCTCTCTTCACCCTTCATTGATATCTATTGAACTTGCGTTAGTCTGGTGTGCCTTTACTTTGAAGAAAGATTTATATCATAATAATAGTGGTGTTATTTTACTTTTACATTCATCTCATCCCTGACTTATTTATGCAATTTAAGTCGTCACCTGGCCTAGGATGAAGTCAGGGTGAAATTGGTAATAGTTAATAAAGAAAATGGGGATAATAGTAAAAATTCATCCTAATAGTACCTGTAAAATTTCAGTTTGCTTTGACTATGAAGACTTATATTGTACTAATAGTGGTATTATTTTGATATTAAACCCAACTATTATTTTATACTCTTTAAATAATCAACAGTGAAATTAAGATGGAATTGATAAAAGATCCAAACTTCTTTTAGAGAACTTTTTTTATAAGTAAAGATATAAAAAAAAAAAAAAAAAGACTTGTGTTTATAAGGCAATATTTCACAGTCGGTATAAACACATTGGATCTAACAACAGTTTCTCCTGTTAAGGGTGACACAGGTTCAAATCCTGCCGGAGAGCACTTATTTTTTTTCTTTTACAACATTTCTTGAATATTCAGGCTGGTAGATAAAAATAAATAAATATACTGTTTAATAAAGGGAACGTCTACCCAAATATAAGTATCCACTAAAAATAATGTTTCTGTAACAAAATCTGTTGGATTAATAAGTAAAAAAACTCCATTACTTCTTTAGTAAATTGTTTTGTTTACGTTCAGATATGAAACTGAGCAGATATGAAAATTTTGAGGTCTGACGAAAAGAATTTCACTTAAAGGTACTATTTAGCCTTTTTTGATCAGCTAAGTTCTTTGTAGCCTTATCAGTCTACGTCGGGTTTCCGATTTAACAATTGTTACCTCTGCAAATAGGTGTACTTGGATACAGAGCAACCAGCCATATACGTCAAACAAGGCAATTGTATCTGATAAAAAGAGTAATGCAGCCATGTTACATTTTTCTTTAATATGCATTTTTCTAAAGAAGTAAATGATTTTTCATTTATTAATCAGACAAATTTTATCATGTTAAACCTTATTTTTAGTGGATATTTGTATTTGAGTAGAAACTCCATTTATTTATTAAACAGTATATTTATTTATTTTCATCTACCAGGCTGAATATTTGAAAAATTTTATTAAAGAAAATATATGCTCTCAGGTAGGATTCAAACCTGCATCCTGCTGGGTAGGGGAAACCATCATTAGATCTGATATGCCCTGTACTAAAAATAACATTTAAAGTGATAAAATCTGTTGGATTCATAAATAAAAACTCCATTACTTCTTTAGAAAATTGCTTTGTTTACGTTCGGATATGAAACTGAGCAGATATGAAAATTTTGAGAGGTCTATGACAAAAAGAATTTTGCTTAAAGGCACTATTTAGCCTTTTCTGATCAGCTAAGTTCTTCATAGCCCTATCGGTCTATAGCACATCAGATTTCTGATTTAACAACTGTTAACTCTGCTGAAGGGGATGCAAGCTGGAGTGTGCATATTATATGATTTCTCAAACTGGTAGACAAAAATAAATAAATACACTGTTTAATAAATAAATGGAGCATCTACTCATCTATGAGTATCCACTAAAAATAATGTTTAAGGTGATTTAACATGCATTTAAAAAAGCAAAACTCATAAGCACTTCCAACTTTAGTTTCATTGGGTGTGTCCTGTTAACCCTGTAGATGTCCCTGTGGGGTATAGGGTCAAAGCTAACCATCTTGGGTGTTGCTGCTGTGATTTCAATAGCAAGTAGGTTTTTACAGGATGGAGTTGCTAGTCTCACACCCAACCAGTTTTGAATTCAAAGTCTTCCCAAGTTTAATACAGCTACATTATTGCTTATCACTTGTTGATCACATGACTAAAAACACAGTAAATCATTGGTCAGTAGCATGTAATGTTTCTTAAAGCACTTGAAAGGAGAAAAAGATTTTTTTTTATTGTAACCAGAAACCTTTGAAATCACATAACTTTTTAAATTAAAAAAAAAATCTGTTGGATTAATAAATAAAAAATCCATCACTTCTTTAGAAATTGCTTTGTTTATGTTAGGATATGAAACTGAGCAGATAGGAATGTTTTGAGAGTCTGAGAAAGATTTGTGTTTATAAGGCATTCTTGGAAATATATTAAAAATAGCTTTAATAGATGCTCTTCATCTATATTAGCCTTCAACCTTTATCTTTGTTTGATTTAATGTTAAGATTTTTGTCAGCAGTAAATGCAGATTTAGATAATTCCATCACCCACACACTAAATTTGTCCCTGCTGACAAATTTTTTTTTTTTTTTTTTACATTTTATAAAAATAAAATTCTATCTTTTGGTTTTGAAAAGAAAACCGAAAGAATTTTTCAAGTTTGTCGTTGATTTGTTATTTAAAAAAAAAAAAAAAAAAATTTGTTTTTCTTCTTCATTGAGTATTCACATCAGCAGCGGCTAGTGGCTTTCTCTGGGGATTAAGTGACAAGTCTCCTTATCATTCCGAACTGCTTTTTAATAATACTCTTGTCTAGACGTATGAACATATAACCACGTCCCTCAGATTTTCGCTGACTGGTCAGCTTCTGCTCTGCCTTGTTGTCTATTTCCTGTATAAACAAAAACTGGGAAATGTTCGATGT